TTATTTATTAAATTAAAGAAATTTTTTGCAAAACTTAAACTATTAGAAAGCATATATGTGTATGGAAAAAACTGAAGGCAAACTAAATTAAAGGCGTGGCTAAAGCGAGGCAGCGTTGGATGTTAAGTAAACCCGATAGGCCAAGGCTTATGTAATTTATTTGATTCATTTTATGGGACAACTTTTAATTTGTATATTGCTCATAGATTTATTTAAGTATTTTTGTATAATAGTTGATTCCCTACGAATTTTAAATTATAGTGAAAATTCCCTATATTTTATCAATAGTTTTACTAAATATTGTAATAGATTTATTATTATTGTTCCCTGTATTTTATTAGTTTCTGATTAACTATAATTTTGTTGGAAATTCCCACTTTATAAAACTATTATTAATTTTTTTATTTATTTATTTTTTTTATTATTTATTTCTTCTTGCTAAAAACACTATTGATTTATTTTTATTTTGACATAATTATTTTTTCTTTTGAACTATATCCTTAGTAAAATTATAAAAAATTTCCCTCATTTTTATAGCTTATTTGAATATTTCCCTTGTTGGGTTTTTTGGGAATAGGAAATTATTATTCTTATTCTTATTATTATTCATCTTATTCTTTCTCCTTATATCCGACATCTTTACTTTTGGACATTTGAAAGTCTTTATAAGAAGACCACAGCCTTGGACAAAGTTCTGACAAAGTTTGATTTTTAGCCTCATTTATATATTAACTATTATTTATTAACTATTAACCGCAAAGAGTAGAGAGAATAACTTAACAGCTAATTGCAACAGCTGCGATAATCCTATTATATATATATATATCTATATATAGATCGTACCTGGCGGTCGTTCCGTAACGGTCAGCAGACCCGTGCGTCGAGTGCGCATATTGCCACCGCCCGCAACGTTGCCGGTGGGCGTTTGGGCCTGTGCCCCCGGTTGGCCCACTTGCATGTGACCCATGCATTCGCCCGGACTGTGGCTGACGGACAGATCCTCGGTGCAGCCCACGGTGTGGCGCTTGACACAGCCACGCTTTTGCATGTATCTATAAGGGGAGCTAGAGTTAGTTGAGTTCCGTCTGGCGAATGATCAGAGATTCGAGCTTTGCCTTTGTATTTCCTCGCTGCACTCCTCGCCGCTGTTTTCCGGACAGCAGTGCAGCTGACCCGCCGCCTGCTCACCGAGCGGCGACAGCTCCGATGTGCCCGGCGCTGCATTCATATTGGCATTGATGTAATAGCCCGCGGTGTCCATTTGCTGTGGAGTTGCTGCCACGCCGCTGTTGCCCGCCGAAATGCCGGCCGGATAGTAAATATGCAGATTGGCGCCACCATCCGAAGCGCGACGACCAAACGAACCTGATGAGAAAGAGAAGAGCTGAGATTAATAACCTGTTTAAATACTATCCAGACGTCAAGGCTTACTGGCACCCATCACAACGGGCGGCTTGAGCAGATGCTGATCCTTGATGGTCAAATTGTGCAGCGGCTGATTCTGCAGCATGGGCAAATTAGTTGGGTAGTAGAGCGTCGGTTGGCCCGCATCGTTGCACTGCGGCGCACACTTGAAGTCGATGGGCGGCATTTGGGGATTGGCCAGCGCCTGTTCGTGGGCCACGTCGCCGGGTCCGACCGTGTGGCGACGCGTATTGGCGCCCGCAACGCCGCCCGCCGTGGCGCTCAAGTGCTGCGAATTGACAGGAGGCTGCAGGAGACAGAAAACCGTTATAGATTGGCAACTCTTTCAATGGATAATTGAGCCTCACCTCATTGGCACGCGCCAGGCACTCCAGCTCAAAGTCGCCGAACTTCTCCAGATCGACGCCGACGTCGGCACACCAGCCAAAGCCCAGCGCCGTATTGGACGCGTTCACATTGCTGCTCAGCGGACTGAGCCGGTCGAGAGATTCCTGTTTAACGGGCTCCGAGCGATCCACAACGCCCGTGGTGATGCTTGTCTTGCGGGATCTGGAGTAGGCAAGGTTCGCATGATGCTGCAGTCTTTGGTTTTCGCGTCGCTTCTGCAGCAGCTTATCCTGCAGCAGATTGTATATGGCATAGATGTTATCGAATCGTTGCTCGTGCACCGACTGGGCAATCATGTCGGCCGTCAGCCCAGGCAGCTGCAGCATGTGCGTCATGACCACAGCATCCAGCTGAGGTGGCGCCGACACCTCGGTGCCATCGCCACCGGAAAGCGATGTCGTTGAGCTGCCCAAAGAGCTCGACTGCATTTGCGAGCCAGCCGTGCCAAAGGGCAGCGCATTCCCATCCAGACGCTCCTCCTGCTGCAGCTCCGCCTGCCAGTCGCTCAGCCAGCGATGTTTGATGATCTGTTTGATGGTGTAGCGACGATCCGGCTCGACGACAAGCATATTTCGAATCAAATGCTCACAGTCTGTGGAGGCAGAGAGGCAATTAGCGACAATTATTGTATATGGCTTCTTCGACTCACCCTGCGACATAAAGAAGGGTATACGGAATTTGCCCTGCACCACACGGCTTTTCAGCTCCAATATGGTCGTGCCGTCGAAGGGCAAAGCGCCGCAGACGAGAGCATAGAGCACTACGCCCAAACTCCAGATGTCCGACTTGGGTCCGTCGTATTCCAGACCCTGAAACACCTCGGGCGCCGCATACGGCGGTGAGCCGCACCACGTGCGCAGCAAGCTTCCCGCCTCATAGTGGTTGCTAAAGCCAAAGTCTGCCAGCTGTAAAGGACAAGAAGATATTAGAAAACATCTAGAATATATTAGAAATCATCTAGTTCAATTCCAATTACCCACCTTTATATTCATGTCCTTGTCGAGCAGCACGTTCTCTGCCTTGAGATCCCGATGCACCACGCCACGCAAATGACAATAGTGCACCGCCGAGATGAGCTGTGTGAAGACACGCGCAGCCTCCGGCTCCTTCATCCGTCCATTGGCCACCAGATGGTCAAAGATCTCGCCATTGGGCGCATATTCGGTAACCAGGTAGATCATCGACTGTGATTCCATCACCTCGTAGAGGCGTGTTATGTGCGGATGACGCAGCGATTTGAGTATCGATATCTCGCGAAACGTCTTGCTCAGGTATTCCTCGTTGAGGCATGTCTTATCGATGATCTTGATGGCCACCTGGAATTGCGAGAGTATAGGAAACAAAGCAGATCACATCAGTCAAGGCACACAGCACTCGGGCACACAGCAACAATAATTCGGATATGAATGCAAAATAATATTTTTGGGTTTGGTACCAGAAGGTGAACGAACCGGGCTGAAAAGGAGAATGCGACGATTGACAAACAAGAGCGAACCGAGAGACAGCCAGAAATTCCATCTGTGTGTGGGCTGCTGCTGACAAAATCTTGCTCTCTCAGTAACAAGAGCAAATGACAGCTAAGCAGAACATGACGTCTATTCAATACACTTTCAAAGTAATTGTTCTTAATAATTTGTTAATAATTGATGTGATCAAATTCATTTATGATACATTTGAAATATGTTTAATATTTTTAAAAAATTTTTATATTTTGATAAACTTTTATATTATATAGAGCAGTCATATATGAAAAATATGTTAGGTTATAATAAAATGTAAATAAAAATAATTTAAAATTAAAATTGTTTTAATATAATAAATTTGATACTGGTTTATTTTTAATTTTTTAATACAATAAAATGTATGCTATTCTACTAAAATATTAATGCAGTAAATTGATTAATAATAAAGTGTCCCATATAAATAAATTAAATCAATTTATTATTTTTTTAAGATAAAAATTCCTCAAAATTAAATTGCGTAATATAGAGTATAGAGTAGAGTATAGAGAATATATAGAGTAATATATTTCAAATTATAAATCAATTTTAAAGTATGACAAAATTAATTTCTACTAAAATAATAAAAAAAACCACAAAAAATATGACTTTAATTTAAAGTAAAGATAGAGAAACTAACAATCAATAGAGAAAAAAATTATATATATATTAATTACGCTGAACACTTTTAGTACTCTTCATAAGCTATACAAAATGTCATACACCACCATCATACCCCATGAAAGAGTATATCAAGAAAAAAGAAGCAAGAGATAAACGTGTCTCGGCTGGGATAGCATGGTCGCATTTGTTGCTGGGGGTCAGGTGGTAGGTGGCGCACTGTCTGCAGCCACACTGGCAGCAGCAACAACAAATACAACAACAACAACAATAGCAGCAAACACGACAAGCACGACGACGACAACGACAACGCCAAAGATGGCGCGAGTGTTAAATTCTGTGTGGTTGTAGCAAGAGAGGTGCTGCCTTGATGATCATCATTATGATGATGATGATGATGACAATGGGCGCAGCGGCAGCAGCGTATGCTTTAGGGTAGACAGAAGAAGCAGAGCCAACAAAAAAATAAAATAAAATAAAATAGTAAAATAAAAAATAAAAACATTCTTTACATACGACTTTAGACAACGTTGTCCGTTTATTTGCTTTTGTATTTCTGCCAAGCGTTTCAATAATTATTTAACAAAAAACTGAAATAATTAACAATCAAGCGTATGGTATGTGTGCACGACAGAGTGAGCAATAACCCAGAGAGAAAGAGAGGGCGACACAGAGAGAAGGAGAGAAAAAGAGGGTGAGAGTTGGAGAGTAAGCGAGGTACATGATCACTTGTTCTTATAGCAACAACAACAACAACACCATGATGAGCCTGAGCCGCATACCGGTTTTCCAATTTGTTGTTGCTGTTGCTGTTGCCGTCGCTGCCTCAACATTTAAACAAATTGAGTTTTGTGGCCGTTTTGCTATTAAGCCTTAAACAGCACTTTCTGCCGTTGCTCARTTCGCGTGCAATGATTGAATATAAATAAATAAGAATAAAACAAAACAAAAAAAAAAACAAAATCGTTTACAGCGGAATTTATAATTTATTCTACATGGCGTCACATGGCGTATGCGTAATATATTAACTCATTCGCCTCTAGACACTGTCTAGTTATTTTAATCAATTCTTTTTCGATAATCAATAAATAAATGTAGTATTTTTAATTAAAATCAAACATTTGGTATTGCTGCTGTCTGCTTTAGCTACTGCAACACTTGGCGTATGCGTAATATTTTCTGCAATGTCATTTGCAGTTGTGATTTTTATGAGCTTGGCGCAACTGTTTGCTAATCACATTTGCCACGTGATTCATGTACTAAATAAATACAGTTAAATGTTTATATATTTATATACTAAAATGTGAATAGTCAGATAGAGGGAAAGGTTTACCTTTAGTTGATGGATAGTGAGAAGARTGGATGATTAAGTGGATAGATATATAAGAATGAATATATAAGAAAATATATATATAAATTATAAGTATAAATAGATAGATAGAAATATATTGATATAGGAATATCCTAGACAGCCCCATGAATGCTCCACATAGGATTGAAGATGTCAAATTCTGTAGTTAGGCAACATTGATTGAAAGATCTATTTTAGATTGATAGACAATGCATAGGCTACACAAGACAGGCACACACACTACAATCTATATGCATGCCCATCCAGCTATACTATATTGTATATAAACATAGCAAACTATCATCACATTCATCCACAATTGAAAGGTCAAGTCAATTAAAAGTTTTGGATTAATAAAATATGTTATTACAGAGTAGGTCGCCCCATTCTCCGCTAGACTGCAAATGATGTACCACACAATAATTGCATTGAGACAATTGTTTTGTCAGCTGCTGATGGGCACACAAGGCGAAATTTTTGTGCCGTTGCGAAATGCCATTGCCACGTGCCATTCTGACCTTTTGCCGCGAATGCGATGAACCTTAAGAACAAACGCTACTAAATGAGACATTCAAAATAAGCGCAACAACAACAGCCGCAACAACAACAACCACAGCAACAACAATAACAACAACAGCCACAATGTCACATTTGGATATCCTTCGCTGGGCATAACACAAAATAAAGAAGGGAAAATATTATATAGCCAAGGCAAGCACAGAAAGGCACAGAAAGGTTCGCTCCTTGGCGCACATATTGATTTAAAGGCTGGAGGACTACAACAACAAGAGCAGCAACAGCAACAACAACAACAACAACAATAACAAAAGCCGCAACAACAACAGTAACAGAAGCGAATGCTAAATGCTATTACAAAATGTAAATTCCTTTTGATTGCCAAAGCTGTGACTCATTTGAGTCGTTCACGGTTCACAATTTAGCATTTGAATTAACTTAAAAGCTGAAACATAAATTTACATTTGGGCCGTTCTCTCGCTCGAATTGCATTTGCAAAATGGAAGAAGATTTACAATGTGCAAATAGGCTCCATCAAAAGGGCAATCGGCTTGAGCTTGAGCAAGAGTCAAGCAGTTTTATTCATATGTTATTCTGCTCAAAAGTGAACTAGTTCTTTCCATTGTTATCAACTGATAAGATCATGAGACATGTGAGCAAGACAGCTAGTTCAGATGAATCAGAAAAAAATTTGTTTTTCAATATAAATTATAATGATTATGTTTCAGATGAGCATGAACTAGTTCATATGAATTCATGATTTTTTTCTGGTATAGTTTTCACATTATAAAATTATGTTTTATATATTATTATAATTACTGGTATATTATAAAATTAAACTAGGTTAGATGAACTTTTGAATGTTGGTTACACAGAATCAGTTCAGATGAACCAGCGAATGTTGAATGAAAATAAAGACAGTTTCAGAACTAGCATGAATTTACAAAATTACGCAAACTGTGGCTCATAAGAGCACATATTGAAAAAGAACTAGTTCATATGAATCAGAATTCAAATAGTTGTATTTAAATATGATAAATATTTCATATGTTGGGTTGTTTTGCAATGGAACTAGTTCATATGAACATTTGAATATTAGTGCACATATTGAAAGTTCATGTTATTGTTGATTCAAAATCAAGTCGAACTTCTTTTTATTTGTATTGTGTATGAATATATAAAAGTTATTCTCATCATTTCTCAAATGCTGCCCTTCCACACGAAATCGTTCTCCCGCTCCATTTTCGCGTACTCCTCCCGCAGCATCTCCAGCTCTTTGGCATTCTGGGCACTCAATCGCTCCAGCTGGCTATTGAGCGCCACGATGCGCTCTCGCACCACATTCACCGTATACAGGCTGAGCCGCTCCGGCTGGAAGACATCCTCCTTCAGTGTGTTCATGTAATGCCACATCTCCTGCAGTTGGCCACGTTTCTCGGCATGATGCTTGCGCAGCTTCTCATCCATATCCAGCTTGAGTCGATCAATGTCATTGATGAGGCCAGCGACTTTATTGCCGCTCGAAGGCCGGCGACTGCCAGACTTTTTATCCTTGCCGCCATTACCCTTGGCGGCGACACCCACCTCCTGGTCGTCGTGGTCGTTCTCGTCGTTCGCCTCATTCGTCTCAGGGTCGTTGTCATCGAGAAAATTGTTGGCATTCAGCTTGACTTGATTGCATTCGAGATACTTTTGCTGCGCCTTCAGACGCATCAGCTCACACAACAGGCTGGTGGGCGTGGTCGTTGGCTTCTTTTTGGCACGCAGCGGTTTAACTGGCGCTCTATGCTTCTGGCACGTAGGCGTGGCACTTGCCTCCTCCTCCATAGCGTGTTCCGTGCGCTTCGCCGACATGTGACCTGCTGGCTGCCTCAAACGCTGGCGCCACACAAATGTTGCACAATGCAGGGCGAGTCCTTGCAACTTGTATTGTTATTGTTGCTATTGTTGTTGCTGACGTTGTTGTTGTGGTTGTTGTTGCTGTTTACACGCGGTAATCAAACGTGTGTTGCCAGCCCAACCACCCCGCCACGCTTCACCTGGCTGTGTGTTTAATCAATAGTTGAAACGCGCCCACTTTTTCTCAGCTCTGTTACAGCGGCTGCTGCAATTGATGCTGCCTCACTCTCTGTCCCTCTCTTTATCTCTCTCTCTCTCTCTCTCTCTCTCTCTCTCTCTGTTTCTCTTTCGTACTCTTTCACTTGCGCTCTCATTTAACCCTAGCGCGTCGCGTTTTTATGCCAAGGGTCGCTAAACTTTATGTGGGTTAACATAGGCTTCACTTTAAACAATTTCCCCCAAACGCTGGAGAAAATCGATTATTACAAATTCTCATAGCTCTGGCCTACTCAATGTAGGGGCAAATGCCAGTAGCTGAATAGAAATATATATATGAAGACAATAAAATAGGTATTTAATGCGTAGAGCAGGGATTTGACATTTAATCAAGCAAAAGGCGATAAATCATTTATAGAAAGTGTTGAAATAATTGAGGTTTGCTTGGTTAGATTGAGAGCGAGAGTGAAAGACAGAGAGAGGGAAAGGTAGAGGCTTTAGAGAGACGGAGAGAGACCGAGAGTGAGAGAAAGAGTAAAAGATAGAGGCTTTAGAGAGACAGAGAGAGACCGAGAGTGAGAGAAAGAGCATAAAAGTTAGGCACCTTAGAGAAAGATAGGCAGGGAGAGAGAGATAGTGACAGATAGAACCTAGAGACCGAGGGAGAGACAGCCCATATAGAGTGGGAGAGAACGAGATACCCTAGGAAGAGAGAAAGAGCGAGGTGGAAATAGAGACACCAGACAGTAAGAGAGAGAGAGAGAGGGGGGGGGGGAGAGAAAGAGGGGGGGGGGGGGGGGAAAAGGGAATGAGAGATAGGGATCTAGAGAGTGCGAGAGAGAGAACAAGATTATCAGGTAGCTGTGCACGTGATTGATTCGCAAATTGTTGCGTTGTTTATGTAGCATTGTTGTTGTTGTTGTTGTTGTTGTTAATTTACGACTGGAAGCGTATTTTGATAACGCGCTTGTTATCATATGAATGCGAATGTTTATCGAATGTGTGTGTAAGTGTGCGTGGTTGTATGAGTGTGTGTGTGTGTGTGTGTGTGTGTGTGTGTGTGTGTCAGCCGCAAGTTGCAGACGTAAAGCAAATTGAAGCGCGAATCAACAATAAATTAGATAGCTAAACATGATAGCTAAACCAAAAGAGTACCCTATGAAAGTGATATAAGGGAAATGCCACGCTAAATGTCAGCTTGAATCAAAGTGATAAGATTCAAGAGAAATATAAGAGAGAGCTAATTGGTCAGAGTTTTTTTTACAAATCTATTCAATTTAATATGTTATATAAATAATTAATACCTATTTTATATACACCTCTATTCTGTCTACAACTTGATCTACTTTCAACAAATTATTGTACAACTTATATTTACAGGGTATTTCGTCTGCTGCTTTACAATGGCCTGCACAACAACGATAGCAAATATAAAAGACAAAACACAAACAAAAAAAAAAACTTTTTGGACAGCAACAAAAAAAAAACGCCAGACAGACGCAAAAAAAAAAAACTGAAGAAGGCAACGCAAAAAAAAAAACAACAAAGCTGCGAAATAGTTAATGAAAAAGTAAATAAAAATTGTTAAACGATTTGGGCAGCCATGCGACTGAGTCGTAAAGCCATATATATATATATATACCAACATATATATATATTATATATATTTATATACCAATACATGTCTATGTATGTATGTTGTTTCTATATATACATACTTCAGCTGAGATCTGCGAGTGGCCAGCAACAAGTTTGAGATCTCGATGCCGTGGCCAGACAGCGTGAGCTCAAGTTAAATATTTGGCCATAGCGAATGATCAATCAAAGTTGCCTCAGTGCGCAACGGGAGCGCGATTATTATTATTATTATTATAAAAAAAAAATAAAACTAAAAATAATATTACTGAGTTCGTGGGTTCGCAACGAAAGAAAATAAATGGCAAATGAAACTTTTAAAAGCGTTCCAGTCGGGTACAACTGATTGCAATATACTCATTCAACGTGCAGCAAAACAACATAAGCTGAGCAGAGAAAGGAGAAGATGCAAAAAGAGAGATATAGAGATAGAGTGAGCAAGAGAGAGTGAGAGAAATACGGTATATACAGCTTTACTCATTTGCTTTATCATATTTCATATAACTTATTTCTACAAAAATTACAAAAAAAAAACCTATATACTCTTCTTATTTCTCTAAACAAATTCTATACAAAAAAAATTAAAAATCAAAAATCACTCGAAATTTTCCAGCAGCAAATCTAGTTCTAGCCTGGCACAATTGGAGCATTAATCAGCCAAATGCCTCAATTCTTGCACGCGCCATAGATTCAATTAAAATTTCCTCATGTTCAATCAGTATCAATCAATCAATCAATTAATCAGCCAWGGCACAAGGTAAGCCAATTAAAAAAAAAAGGTCTGACAACAATTTGCGTTTCGTTAGCCCAGAAGCCCCAAATATTAAGCCAAAGTACTATATATTATAGTAAAGAGGGGAGAGCATATAAAATATTCATAGTAATAAAGGGCTTAATTAAATTGGTATCTTGCTCTATAATTGAGAAAGCTGTTCAACTTCTCAGTGTAGGCAGAATTTTCTAATTTGTTTTAGTTTTTAATTGCTGGGTTTATGGCAGGAGACTTTCGCTTTATTTACAGAAGTTTTTAAAGAGTTACAGCAGATTAAATAGCCCTTCTCTAAAAATTTCTTTGTTTACCAAATGTTCATTGACATGATATTTCTATTATAATATTCAACAAATCAAACTTAAATACAAAAATTGAATTTGACATATCTTCAAGGTAAATCTAATATCATTTTGTACATAGCATACCAAATGATATACATTGATATATTATGAATATATGATTTGAGCTTTACAAACCCGAGTTCTTATCTGGATGTTGTTTACACACTATGTACTAGAATGTCCCTGCATATATGGTATACACGATGCCCCATTGATAAAAGCAATAATAATTAGCAAAATGCGTTTAGCAGATAAGCTAAAGCTGTGGGCAATAATAATAATAATAATATTAATAATAATATTGACCGCAATGATAATATAGCCAAAGTCATGTACTTAAACATTGCAATTCTCACACACACACACACGTGGGTCTTCGCATCCATTGTGAATGTTAAGTAAGATAAGTATGTGTGAGTGGACCTTGAAATTGACAAACAGCTGTATATTCCCCTCTCTGTCTAGCACTCTCCCTAACTCTTTCCCCCCGTTATCAGTATATTGGAAAACAACAAATAAAGAACTGTAAAAGCAAACAGCATGAAACGAAAACAAATCGAAATGGAAATAAAGTGAAATTAATCAAATATGCGCGTCATATGTAAATTGTTTTTGTTTCTGCCTTTTTTATTTATTTTATTTTTTTTTTTTCTTTTTGTTTTGTTTTTTCCCCTTTTCTTTCATCCAAGCTCAGACGCCATTTTGAATTACAGGCACGTGCTTTTTCTGTTGTGGGATGAATCTCTACACTTTTGTGTGGAGACTAAGCACACAACACAGTCTGTTGACAGTTCTCTTCTGCTCATGATTCTTCTTCTTCTTCTTCTTCTTCTTCTGTCGATTCTATTCTCTATTATTCGCATTCGTTGTCAATTATGCATAAAACGAGGAATTTTTCTGTTTGGCCTACAAATTTGCACTTATTGTTGTGATAAACTATTAAAGAGCATTCGCTTATTGTTGTTGTTGTTGCTACAGTTGTTACAGTTGTTCCAATTGTTGCTGCTGCTGCTGTTGTTGTTGTTGTTGTCGCAGTTGACAGTCGAAATTATCAGCGTTCGCATGTAGTTAACAGCCACTGTAACAGCTGTGTGCGCTCTGTTGTTTCACTCTATACAAACACATATATATCTAGCTCTCTCTCTCTCTCTCTCTCTCTTTCTTTCTCTCAGTCTGCTCGCCCTAAGCCCACAGCCCACAGCGCCCCGTTAACCAGCTGAAGGTGACTCATTATCACTTCTAGCTGCAGCAGCTGTAAAATGCATTCGGAATTTATAAAGAATGTTGAGAAACTGTCGCTCAGCTGATAGAGCGCAAGTGGTAAGAGCCATGCAGTTGGACGACTAGCGATATACCCTGTAAAACATGTATACATAGCATATGCATATTATTAAATTATTATGTTGTAGAATCGAAATACCCTGTATATAATATTTTAAGCTCTATAAATGGTCTTTGTACATTTTGATTCATTCAACTGGAAATAAATATACCCAGCATTATCTAAGGTAATTCAAAAGCCAAAAAAAATGTGTTTTTGAAGCACTTTTATGAACAGATGCGAGTGTCCGCTCAGCCGATTACGCCGTATACTAATTAAATGCAGCATCCCAGTCATTTTAGAGATGCATTTAAGAGATAACTTTTTACGGAAATTATTCACAAAAATATTTGTAAATGCAAATTACATTTGAGAGCAGGAAAGAAAAAAAAAATCAACAAGATGATCTTAAACAGAACGAAACAAAGCTTAATTGCTTCCGCAAACAGAGACAGAGGCAGCGAGAGCAAAGAGAGCGAGAGAGAAAGGGATAACGATGACAATAACAGGTGTGTGTGTGTGTGTGAGTGTGTGAGTGCGCACGTGTCTGTAGACAGGGCTCCGACGTGTCTTCCCCGTTAGAGATAGACAACGAAGAGCGAGGGAGGCAAGGAGACAGAGCGGGACAGACATGAAGTTAAATGCGTTTCAATTAGCATCATCTGATCTGAGAGTTAAGACCGACCAATCGACCGAACAGCGGCGTCTGTTGCTCTCAGGCCAATTGTATGCAAAAACATAAAGCAAACAAATATCGTTGAGAATAGGGGCAGAGCGAGAGGGACGGGAAATCGAAGTAACACAACTGGCCGATCAGCCAATACAAATATGTTGTGTAAATAAGTTGGGTAAACAGTTAAGTATACTATGCGCACATATTTACGCGGCAATAAACAAAACAACAAAAGAATTATAATAACTAAGTTCAATTTGATTAAGCCAAATGCGCAGCCTAACGGCAGAAATTGAGAAGGGAAAACGAAAAATGGAATACAAAACCAAATAAAACATATATTCGATGCGTGAGTGCAATCGTTGTGTATCGATATACACAATATATGACTGCTATATTAGTGTAACAATATCTTAAAATCTAAAATTCAATATATGTATATATATATGTATATTGATTAATCATAATTTATTCTTTTTAATAAAGTTCAGGATTCCAGAAATATGTATTGTTATATCGGATTATAGCACACTTCATTTAAGCATACATAATTCAGATATTATAAAGCACAGGCAATTTAAGGGGTTTTATGTGCATTTATAATTTCAACCCCAAAGAAATATGTGCTGAAGATTTTCCTAAGTTTTTCATTATAACCATCCCACAAAAACATAGTTATAATACATACACTTTACTATATGAATTATCTAGTGCATAATTATATATTATCGATTATCATTTGCCTATTCCCTTACACATCAATTATCTATTATCTAGGTACTATTTATTGATATATTATATTTATTTATTTCAATTTATTTTCTGCTATATAAGTATTATTTATCATATTTTGTCATTTTATCTATTCACTTAATATTTATGATCTATTAACTATTATATATTATCTATTATATATCGTCAATCCTTTCCTTTTAAAGATATTTGTGCTATCATATATTGTAGTTTATACATATATACCCTACATGAATGTAGTCTGTAAGCATAACTCACCTTTGTCTTGGTCACAATGTTTGTGGCCAGTTTAACTACGGCAAAGTTTCCCTTTCCGATCGTTTTCTCCAGTTCGTAGTAGCCGACACGTAAAAGTTTATCCACAGATATTTTGCTCGTCGATGGCACTTTGTAATTTTGTGGCGTTGATGTGGAGGCGGCCATTGCACTTTGTTGTTGTTGTTATTGCTGCTGCTGCTGTTGTTGTTGGTGTTTGTTTTGGTAATTGGCTAAAGTCGCGTTGCCTGCGCCGCCTCCCTCCCACTCGTCGTTGTTGTTGTTGTTGCTCTTGTTGCTTTAGTTATTGTTGTTGTTGTTGTGAACACAGGAAGTTCACTTAAGCTGCATTTTCTTTTGTTTGCCGAGCTTGAATTCATTTGCCATACAAAGCCGCTGCTGCTGCACACACACACACATACACGCATTCACTCTCACTCACTCACTCGCACTCACACACACACACACGCGCGCACGCACACACCGAGGAACAGCAGCAGCGTAAAATTTTAATTCGATTCGTAGCTTTCAAATTGAATTGTTGCAATTATTTGAGCGTTGCATTCGCTGTGTCAAAGGTCAACGGCAGCTGCTTCGTTGCAGTTGTTGTTGTTGTCGCTGTGGCATCTGCTCCCGTCTGGGCCATTGGACACGGCCACGTGGCCAAAATGCAACGAGCACGTGAGGCGCCTCCGATTTGATTTGACTTGTGGCACGTTGACTGCTTGAAACACTGTTGTTGCTTGTTATTTGTTGATATTTGTTGTTGCTGTTGTTGATATTCTTGTTGTTTTTCCTTTTGTTGAGGCGTTTTCTCTTTTCACATTTTTAGCCTTGTTGTCGCCGTGCTGCGTTTGCAAACATTAAACAGAAAATAAAAAGCAATTAAAAGTAAATCACATTTGATATTTGACCTTCGTTTGCTGTTGTTTTTTATCACTTTTTCTGTTTCAGCTACTGTTGCTAGTGGGCGTGGCCAGCCAACAGCTGTTGTCTCTTTTGTCTAAGCCAAACAGAAAACCTACATACACACCACAGCACCTAGGCAACAACTTATTATGGACAGTGTAGTAAACCAGTGTCCGCCTCTCTCCCCGCTCCTTCTCACTCTCACACTTTACACTGCTTCCTCCTCCTACTGGCTGTCGCCTACTACACAAGCATTGCAAGCCACTCTCCCTGTCTCTCTCACACACTTCGCTCTATGTTCACTCTCTCGCCGTAAGCTGATCTCGCCTGTCCAAGCTGTTGCTTCTTCTTGCTCTCCTTCTTCTCTTCGTGCTTCTCCACCTCCTTCAGCTGGCTGTCGCCTGCTACATAAGCTGCGTGCATTGTGGACCACGACAAAACTTAATGGGTTAATGTACAGCATCAAGGTCGCGTGGCCAGACACACATACAAACACACACACACACACATAAACAAACAAACACTCACACACATGCACACGTTGTTTGAGTGCGCGAGCGAGATGGCGCGTGTGGCCCAAGTCAAGTGGCGAATGTTTGCTGGAGCAAACGTTCAAGTCAACAAATTCTTTATTGAAATCAATTTAAGGCAGCAACAGCGCGAAATAGTTGTGGATAGAAGAAGAGCTGCGCAGCGCAAACACAAGTACACACACATACACACGCACGCAATTCTGCGGCCAATTGAAGCGCGAGCTGCAAAGAATTGAGTTGTAAAGGGCTTAGAAAAATTTGAAATGCGCTACAGTAAGGAGAGTTACGATTTTTAAAAAAGTTGCATAAATAAACTGTGAGTAATTTTATAGCAACATAAAAATTTGTAAAAAAAAAATTTGCATTTAAGTTCATTTGCTTCATATTTAAATGAACACTAAAGTGAATCCGCAAATCTTACTAAATCCAAGACATTCTTTGCTCAAATACAAAAGCTGGCTGCTGTGAGCCACGCCAAACACATATAAAAAGACCTTCCATTTAATATTCAAATTACCTACGCACTTTCAAATGCCCCATTGTGCTTGCTTTATAGAGTATAACAGCACATACACACACGCATAAGCACACACACACACACACACACACACACGCACATGCATTTGATATGTATGCATGACGTATAAATTTTGTAAACAATTTGTTAGTGCGAAAGAGCAACGGCAGCTGGTGTGGCCAGCCAACAATGCAAAAAACGGTTTTTAAGTGGTTTTTCTCAGCCATTTAATTTTCACATTTTCACGTTTCTTGCCAATGTTTTGAAGCGAGTGCGAAGCGAATCGAATCAAATTATTAAATACCAATTGAAAATGATGTTTTGTTTGTTTATTAAACGAATAGGAAAAGACACAAAACAGTTCCAAATGGTCGCAGCAGCAGCGATTAGATGTTGGAAAGGGAGTCGGGGAAGCAGAGAGAAAACACACACACGCACACACATAACTGAAAGTCAATGTACAAAAATCAACAGACTGCGACTGCAACGACAACTGCGGCGACGACAAATGTTTCAACTAAATGGATGCGAATGCAGTGACGCCATTGACCTGTGCCTGGAAGCGCCGCATCAAAGCTGAATGAACTTCCAAAATGGAAGCAGCATTTGAAGCTGGAGCCCCATTTGACTTGACAACTTCCAACGCACGCACGCAAACAGAGAGAGCGAGAGAGTGAGAGCAAAAGAGAGTTGCGAAAGCGTAGCCAGCTGTAAAAGACGTCACAAGGCAGCCTCGTTTTACGGCGAAATTAAGACGAATAATCATCATGAGATGTGCGTCGATGTGTGCTGTCATTCACAACTGAGGCCGCACGGCAAAGTGGGCGGGCGAATTGAATGCCGGACGACCAAAAAAAAAAGTTTAGTTAGACAAGTTAACTGTAAATCATTAAATTGGGATAGATCAGTTTAGGCAAAAGCTACTTAATATTTGGAATGACACTATACTTATGAAGAGCACTGTAGGGATATGTATGTATATACATACTTACATGCATACATACGTACACCATATCTGTTGGGCATAGCTGATAACTAAGGCACCGCAGTAGTTCTTGTTACTGTTGTTGTTGTTCTGCTCGCACCCATGCCCTCTGTCGGCGACAACAACAAACCGACATTAAAATCAGAAAACGCAAAATAAGAGAATGATTAAAAAAACAACAAGCATAACAAAAGAAAACTTAAAACAACAAAAGTCGCGCGCGCATGAAAAATAAAGAAAGAGTAACAACAACATTCAAGCAAAGTAAATGAGCCAACAAATATAAAAGAGTAGAAAAAACAAAAGCTAGAGAACGACTTCGACTTACAAACAGCAGCGACAGCGGCAGCCGCAGCAGCCAGACAGCAGAGACGACAATAACAACAACAGTACAGAAGCGCCAGCACTCAGAGCAGAAGGCAAATAAAACGCAAGAGCAAGCAGCAGAGCGCGCGACGACATGTGTATGTGTGTATAGTCGGCGGGGGCGCAGCAACAGTTACGGGGCAGACAGGTTACGTTATACGTGTGTGAGTGCGCTGGCATATTCATGTATATATACATATATATATATATATATGTATATAAGTGTATGTGCGTTTATGTGTCTGTATGTGTGCCTGGGTAGGTTCAAGGAGTCAAGGAAATTCGCAAAAAAACCACAGCAGAAATTACAATATACATATGAAGCAGCCTGATGACAATTACAGACACACATACTTGCGCTCACGTGTATGTATGTGTTTGCGGAGGGGCGAAAACGAAACTTGTCGAGGTCGAGCATACAAAACCACTCGAATAATACGTACGTATGTGTACAAACCGAGCGAAAGATAGAGAGCGAGAGAGGAAAACAGTGAAAGCACACAGCGTTTACATATACACATGGTTGATAACGAATGAAAAAAGCAAAATTTACAAACGCAAGGTGTCCAATTAGACCACTCAACAGCAATTAGCTTTTCTTCTTTGGCTTATTTGCGTTTTACTGGAGTTGCTATGACGTTCGCAGTCAAACAAACACACACACACATACACTAGCACACATGGGTTTGCGGGCAAAAGCTGAGCGCACACTCACACACACGCACAKTACAAACACATACATATGTAGCTATGCAATCGAAAAACGTCACGACTTCCAAGTGGAAAAGCGTATGTAGTTTTCGCCGTCATTTTGGCTGCGAGAAAACAAAAAAAAAATACACCAGCATAATTGCCATTCATGAATATTTTTTGCTTCCGCATGTCGCCGCACATATATATATATACACACACACAGTCACACACGAAATCAAATAAGAAATTACATTTGCACACGCATACATGCATATGTATGTGTTTATAATTGATATTTAGTAGGAAGCGCCTCTTCCTCTCCCTCTAGCTCTATAACATATTTTTTTGTTGTTTCTACTTTTCCAGCCGCAGCAGCCGCCCAATCAGCAATAGCAACAATAACAAACACTGCCTCAAATATGAAACACTTTGTTTAATCTTTGTTTCATTCCAATTTGATTTTTGCTTTTTGCTCTTAGAGTACACACTACGAATGCTTTCTATCTTTTATATTAAATTTTGTTTCAATATTTCATTTTTTTCATTTGTCGCCAGATTTCTTTTCACGTTGATTTGTATTACATATATAAATATGCATATATACACATATATAAGTATATAATTATATATTTATATATGTTTATATATATGAATTCTTATCACTTGTGCCTTGTTATTGCCTTTTGGCTTTTGCTGGTTGTTTTCTCGCTTGCACTGAACTTGAACGCGTGGGCGTAGCATGCGCCGCGATTTATATTATCAAGTGCCTTCGCTTTCGGCTATTGGAATTTTTTTTATATTGTTTAAGTGGCGATTCTTATACGATTTTAGCGCGAAGCGTAGCCCACCTGCATACGAAGCAAAAACTCGGCACCAACTGATTGGCATTTCGTTCTCTTCACATACACAAACTCACACACTCGCACGCACACACACGCATTTACTCTCTTGTTCACACACAGTGTTGCATGCGACCATTGATCGGTCTGTTAAATAATGACACCACTCTGTTAAGTTCAGAAAATTTCTCTGTTAGTATTTATTCAAATAAGTTGGCAGCACACATCTGTACTTGGCGGGCATTATGAACAAAATTTAAGTATTCTTTCTTCCACAGGTTAATTGAATGTCCGATAATGTATTGCACATCAAATGGTGCAATGCAATTAGTTAAAGCACTTTTGATTCTGACTGATCCCAACAGTAATCTTTGTTAAATTATAGCATAGCTGAACGCCTAGTCAGTGGCGTCATTGTTAAACAGGGTTTCGTATATTTTCTTCCAGCCGTCGTTCGTGCGTTCGGCACTTTCTCTGCCAACTTTTCGCTTAGCAACGTCTTGGGCAACTCTCGTGCCTCATACCAATGCGGATTGACACGTTTCACCCAAAAGCTGCTACCCAAATGCAGACCACTTAGCAATTTGGCAACGCAACCGACATTCACCATTCTGTTGTTTGGCTCTTAATTTTTGTCTAATTCTTTGTTCTTTGTGTGTGTGTGTATGGGTGGTTTGATTAGGTTCTTGATTATTTTTTTTATTGTTAATACTGAAATACCAAAAAAACTTATATTACGGAAATTTAATGTTTACCGTTCGAAAGCCTAAGTTAAGTGTGCTCAAATTTGACAACTTCGATTTAAACACGAAAAATTTAAAATTTGAGTTTAAATTACGCGCCTGCTCAACTGCTCAATAAAGAAAAAAGTCAACAACAACAGCAACAGCTAAGCGAGAGAGCTTAAGAGAGACAGTGAATGCGCCCTGTGTAGATTTCCAATTGGAGTTCCAATTCGAAACCTTGCGCTGGAACTGAAGCCGCAATGAATGAAATGTTCCATTGTGACCGGCAAGGAAGGCGAAAAACTGCGCATGCGACAGCACCAAACGTGACGTCAGCAGCGAAAGCTCTAAGTGTAAACACGTGGGCGCGCTTTTAAACTAAACAGAAAGAGAAACAAAACAACAGCAACAAAAAACAGCTGAGATGCTGCGGCGCTTTGCTTTGCGTGTCAACGTTTTTTGGACTCCCGTAACTAAAGCTTTGCAAACAACAATTATGGCACAAGGCGTAGATTCAAAATTTTAAATGTTTCAACTCTACAAATTTCAAGTTAAAAATTACATTCTATTCATTAGCTATTTGCAATTCATTTCACAATGATGGTACGACGTCGCGGCATGGGAGCTGGCCTGAGCGCCTTCCAGCAACCACCGCCTCAGCAGCATCCAGTTCAGCAGCAGATGGGCCACCTTAACATGTCCTGGCTGAGCGGTGCAACGCCCCAATGGACGCCGCGTCGCGACACGTTCGTCTCGAACGTGTGCAACAAAATGGTGGGCGCTGTGCCACGCATGCCGAAGCTACGCGCGCCCGAGCCGAGCAGCCGTAAGCTAAGCCGCCTGCGGCGAAATCTAATGAACATTTCGCCGCAATTCACAAGCACAGCGAATTGGCAGCAGCCTGTGCAGCGAGCACAGCCCAAGCTGTGGTACAGCTCGAATACGCACATTCAGCCGAATTCGCCGCTGTGGTCGCATTCGATTATGACGGCCTATGCGAAGGGACAGCAGCAAACAATTAACGATATATCGGTGCAGCTGAAGCAACAGCTGCGCCAGCTCAGGCAGCAATGCCTGCGTAATCAACAGCAGCAGCAGCAACAACAGCAGCGGCAGCTACATAAGCAGCAGCAACAGCAGCAGCAACAGCGACAGCAACAACAACAGCATCAGCAACAGCGCCAACAGCAGCAGCGACAGCAGCACCATAAGCATTTTAAGCCTAGTTTTGTGCCGTTCAATTTTGGCAAATGCGCAAATAATTTAATCAGCTGTCTGGAGAGCAATGCCGCTTTTGCGCACAAGCAAGCGGCAAACTTAAATGCTATGCAGCAGCAGCAACAGCATCAACAGCCGCAACAGCAGCAACAGCAGCAACAACATATGCAGCAACAACATATGCAGCAACAGCCTCCCCAGCTGCCCCCGCAGGATGCCTACAGTTTTACGGATGGCTTTAACTATGTGAAGCTGGCCAAGCATATGGCCAAAAAGATTATGGAATCACCGGAGATCGCGCCCAAATCGCCGGTGAGCCCACAAGCCGTTCATAATGTGAGCAGCACAACGTTAATTAACCAATTCATGGCACAAGTAGGTCGCCAGCAAATCGAATCCGAGTTCAAAGACGACAAGCTAACGGTCAATCAAGGCCAAGATATCGATGCGAATCTGAAGTATATAACTGAGCGGCTGTTGGCTGATTTGTCGGAGATCTTGAAGGGCAAGCAGCAGAAGCGGGCAAGCCTATTGTCCGACCAAAATGACAGTCTGGCAACGCTGCAGCAGTCAGAGCAGAACGTTGTCGATGAAGAAAGTGTTGCATCGCTGTGTCAAGGGTTGGAGCTAAAAAGTATTAAGTCTGATGACAGTGTGGCAACGCTCAAAACTTCACATGAAGATGAAACGTGTGTTGCCAACAGTCCGTCAACTTCAGGGAAGCCTGGCAACTCTATAAGTCAGACAATAGTGCAAAGTGTAAGTCATTCGGCGGACAGTCTGGCATCACTGCTGCGTGCGGAGCCACAAGTGTCACGGCAATGCTCTAAGCTGTCAGTTAACAGTTTGGCAACGCCGTGTCCATCCGAAGAGAACTTGCCGCAACCAAAAATGGTTATATTACAACACAAGTCAATGCCGTCTAGCAACAGTCTGGCAACGTCGTGTCTGGCATGCTCTGAGCTGTCCGAATCACTTAAAATGCAAACGAAAAACCGTCTGGCAACACCGCCGCGATCAGAAGTGCACCTGTCACCGCTAAAGCAGCCTGTCAGCTATGTGGCAAAGATGGAGCAGCCGGCTCTGGAACTGTCGTCGCTAAGGCCTAAGCTCAACAACGGTATGGCAACGCCATGGCAGTCCGAGGTGGATGAACCATTGCAAAGTTCACCAAACGCCACAAAGCCCCCCAGTCTGACAACGGTGCAAGAAGAAATCGAGCAGAAGAAGAGTAGTCACGAAGAATTGAGCGATCTGGCAACGGAGGATGTGGAAAGGCAATGCATTCAGCACGAGTTCAATCTAACAATCAAACAGTTAGAGCTCTTGCAAGAGATACTGCTGGAAGAGGATCGGCAACAAAACTTTTTGGAATGGTCAACGGTACAAAATCCCGATGATCCGAATCCGAAGGAAGTCGATACGAATCAATTGTGGAGGTCGCTGATGTTGAAGCTGCTGCAACAACCTCATAGGGACGGCGAGCGCCTGACAGCGGGCAATCGCACAGCAACTAACAGCGAACTGCCCATCTATCTGATGGATGCTGCCGACGACGAGGACATAGATGCGCCAGTGTACAAAACGAGCCTAAGTCGAACGAGGAAGAGGCCTAAGCGAAAGGCCAAAGTTAGGAATACGGTTATACCCAGTGGGTATAAGCATAGGACGAAGCGTTTTCCGCTGAGAGATCGGGAGGTAGAGCTCATGCGCATGAATACGCGATGGCCCCTGCATTGGCCCAGTCCGCGTGTCATACATCACATGAACAGGAAGAGGAAGAAGATGGTGTTACGCGGTCTGTGCGGCTCACGTCTATTTAACTTACAATCCGCCTCAACGAAGCACCGATCGAGGCCAAAGAGTCAAAAGAAGAAGGCACGTCACCGCATGCATAAACCCCTTTTGAACCAACCACCCTTTACAAGAAACTATTCGGAATTTTGGTTCCACTAAGTCAACATCCTATATATATGTATATATAACTATATGTGCGCATGGATCGCACATAAGAACACATCATAGTTAATGGAGTCTTTAACTGTGATCTGATCTCATGTGCAATCCATGCAGCATATATTTCTATATATATATATGCATATAAGCAGATCGATCGGTTATAAATACTTCAATAAAGTTTGAGTCGAACCAAGCCAAAATCTATCTTTTCTCTCCATTCCCTCACTTACATGAATCAATTGTATGGTGGAATCATGGAAATCAAGTATGGGGCAAATCTGTCTGCTTTTTAGGCATCCTTGTAGAATCCACCTTAGTTCTCTATTAGACATCTATTGAAACTAGGTAGTCTGTAGTCAAAACTTAGCTATACTTATCAAATCGGCTTTGTTTTCATTTCGATTGTAGCTTGTAGAATATTTATTTGTTAAATTCTTTGTTTACACATGTCGAATAGTATAGATAATGTGAGCCGTATCATATAACAGAATTAGTGTGCCCTTTTCGTAGTTAATGATCAAGACGACAATGGCTAAAAGTCTGATCTGTGCAAACGATCTTCGCAAAGATCAGGATGAAGATCCTACAGATTCTAAGCGTCTACAGGAACAGTATTCCGGTCTATGTCAAAAGACGCACACGACAATTTACCAGAAGCCGTGTTTGGAAGAATCTACAGAGTCGCACCAGAACTACAACTGGCAATTGTCCCAGAAGTTGCCTAACATATCTTGCCAGGAGGAGAACCAGATACCGTTACAGAGTCCAGCTCCGAAGTTATCTGAAGAGACGTACAAGGAAATTAATCAAGAAACGAACAGCGATCTATTTGTTAAGTTGAGCGAGGAGCGGTATCAGCAATCATTCCATAACTTATACCCGAAGTTATCGGAGGAGCCGTACCACGAAGTGTCCAAGGACGCATATTCAGAGCTGTCTAAAGAGCCCTACCAGGAGCTGTCTCCAGCAAAGTATCGGAAGTTGTACCCGGAAAAGTTCTCCCATGTGGCAGCATCTAACGAAAAGTACCCGAAATTGTGTACAGAAGAGTACGTAAAACCATGGGCAGACCAACATGAAAAGTCGTACCAGGAGTTGTCGGAGAAGTCGAATTCAGAGATGTACCAGCAACTTTCTGAGGCAGACTATCCCGGTCAGTCCCCAAAATTGTGTATGGAGGAGTACAGAAATCCCTATCCAAATCAACATCAAAATCCATACCAGGAATTCTTCGATGAGTCGACTCCAGAGGATTATCCGAAAGGATACCAGGATATTTCTCAGGGGTCGTATCAGCAGTTATACCAAGAACAGTATTTGCTTTACAATGAAGAGTCGACTTCAGAGCTGCCTCCAACGCAGTCTCTAGAATCTTTGTCTAGGCAGAAATATCCCCAATTAGCTGAGGAGTCTTACCACCAGATTCCGGAGTTGTCACATCAAAGTTTCTCTAGGCTGCAGGGCTCCAACCATTTAAAGAATTGTTCCATCAACTTTTACCAGGAAACGAGAATGACACGGGTTGTTATTAACAGTGCCCCAGTTCGTAAGTCCGCAGGCATGGGCTATTTGCAAACCAATAATACCTCGAGAAGACCAGAGGGTATAAATCAAGTGGAGAGGCGTAAGGCCAGAGCTTCTCCATGTGGAAAGTGTAGTTCCCCACAAACTTGCGAACGAAATAGCAATCGCAGTCGTTCACCAGCAAATGCACAGTGTCCACGTGCAGCTGCTCCCCAGCCTTGTCGTCCACCAACTGATGTCCGTTTCCGTGATCCGTCTCCCAACGATCATCGATCTCGGCCGAGCCATGGACCGCGATCCATACCAAGAAACGAAACTAATTGGGAGGCCTACGACGTTGAACCAAATCAAGCTCAGCATACCGCAAAGGCACCAAATTCTTTGGATACGGCTGGACGACCAAACACGGTTCGAATGTGCTGTGAAGCCTGCAATAATTCATCACCGCAGCGTTGTGATAAACCAAAACGTGAGAAGCCACCGCCAAAGCCGTTCTGCAAGCCGTGTAGCTCGCCGAAGCCCAACGCAAATCGTAATGAAGCTGCCTCACAGAATTTGCACGAGCCTAAACAGCCTCCGCCCGTAACGCCTAGGAAGTGTCATTGCGATAAGGGATGCGTTACAGACCCACCACCACCACCACAGCAGTCGCCGAGGCAGTGTGATCGAGTGTACCCGAATAGTGAACCAGCCGATTATAGCGGCTGTAGCAACTCGTATGGTGCAGCCCCGTCTAAAGGGCCTAATCACAATTATCATGAGGCGACCCATGGCAATTTACAGCTTTGTCCGCGTTGCGAAACTCTCTTCGAGCCCAGATCGACTAGAGCGGAGAGCAACCAATCAGAATACGAGTCATACTTGGGCTTAGTGCCCTGTCCTAGCTGCAATGATTGCGCATTAGCCGCACCGGTAAATGAATTGGAGTCGAATGAATCATGTGACTATACGGAATATGTAATCAAGAAACGAAATACCGTGGTCAGTCCAGCCAGCGATATCGCTTGCATGAATCCCTCGTGTAGCAAGGCGAAACGGAAGAAACCGAAAATTGATTATAATGTTTACGGCTATCGACCCTGTGAGGCGCCACAGCGCATCGAACAGTCATTCTGCATAGACGACTGCAAAGTGGACTACATGGAGCTACAATCCGGTAGCGGAAGATTTTTTAAAAATCCCATAACTGTCTCTAGTTGCAATTGCAATATGCAGAAACGGATTATACCCGAAAAGAGAAGAAAATCTGCAATACCGTTCTGTGAATATACTGGCGGCCGAGCGCAGGACATGAATGATAGACGAGAGCCCAGCCCTGGCTTACCCCCACTCAACAATAATGCCTGCTGCACGAATTTTGTGCCCGCGCAGTATTTCCAGGAGAGCAGCAGTTCACCCAAAAGAAATCACAGATTCTCCTCGGGAGTAAGCATGCACTTTACGTATGTCTACAGATCTAGCTTGACTCACATTCCTATTTTCATTACAGCTAGCGCCTAGGTCCTCCAGCAATACCCAGCGCTCACGTAGTCAGCCACCCAGCAACTCTTTTGTAAGCAGCTCTAGTTCGAATGAGTACTTTTTTATCTTTTTTTATCCATTAACAAATTCTTCTATTGCAATCCCTCAGACGCCCATAATGCCAGAGAGCAGCTTGCATTTGACAAAGCGACGCTTCAAGCTACCCAAACGACGTCTTTCTGGCTGCGGCGTAAGCGTAAACTATATCTAATATATATATCTATATATCAATTTTAATTTCATTTACAGCTTAGCATGAAGAATCGTCGCTTTTTCCCATTCAAACTTTATTCAAACCTAATGCCAAGTGTGAGTTAATGCTTAGATTAATATTATTCCATTCTGAAACCTTTCCCTTGCCACAGCATCAATCGATTTTCACGCTGAAGTCTTATCGTACGCCCATAGCTAAGCCCTGCACTTTGCCGGTGTCGACCAAGGCGCTGCGTTTATCCGAATGCCTGTGCCACAAGTGCAAGCAGCGGTGTCGCGGTGGCAAGCTGACAGCGAGTACGAATAGCTCCTACAGCACCAGAACTACGAAAGTTTCCAGGCCTAGGCTAGAGACTCAAACCGCTGCTAATCGATCCAGCCAGGCCTCTAGCTCCAAGCCCAATCGAACCCAATCGACGGCAATAAAACGCGAGAAGGTCTCAATTCAAACACAAACCCCTTCACACTCTAAGCATTCACGATCTTCGCGTTTTCGCGATCAGTTCTCCCAGGCCGCAATCAGAGCTAAGCCACGCCCAGATCTACCCGCCAGATATCAGCTCCATTCACAGCATCAAAATAATTCCAAATCAACTTCTCGCGCAGCAACTCGTAATACATCGGTGTCCGGGCGGGAAAAAACCGAACAAACTCCAAGGCGACAACAACAACAACAAAAGGGAGTAGCTGAAAAGCCGCAGAATCGAACGGACGGAACTACGGCACCAAGACAGGAGCAATCACTAGAGATTGGGCAAGCTCTGGAGCCAAAACGTTTGCTGGATCAAGAGGCGGAGGTACGGCTAGTGCAGTACCAAATGGACAGCAAGAAGAAGAGCTCCAAGCAAACACCACGTCCGCCACAAGTGCCGGATGACCCAGTGCAGGTGGTGCCACAGTTCCATATGCAGTCGCATGGCAGTACCGGATGCATGGGCACAAGCCTCCATCATTTCTATCGTGGCAGCTTTCTGTCCATCCGTCCCACGCTACCGTCGGAGAATACCCAAGTTGCCACCAGGCAACGTCACTCGCTCCTGCATGTCGCGGAGAGCATACTCAGGCCAGACATGATGCAGTTCCCCCAGCCGCGGTGCTCGTCCTTTGTGGTGCCCAACAAATGGCAGGGTCTTGCCAACTTGAATAGCTTTATCGGCGCCACGGCGATTGTCGACCTGGAAACCATGAACGCACGACGCACTGGCAACAAAAACGGCGGCTGGTTGCGGTCCTGGCGCAAGCTCCTGCCCAATTGGCTGAGCCATAGCAAAATAAAGACAACGAGTGCATAGCCAACGCTGTCAGAAAATAGAAAAAAAAACAACAAAAAACTAAAAAATTACAAAATTTTGCCCAAGTTTCAGAATTTTAACAAAGTATGGCACGTTTCGGCTTCAGAAAAATTATAAACCACTACAAAAACTCCAAGGAGCACAGAAGCCGAGCAACCGAACAGAAGTTTGACGCTCCGTCGAGTCAGGCAGATCAGGATGTTAGCTGTGGGGACGAGATCGCCTCGGCAGCCACTGAGCTGGAGATCGAATCGTTGCCAAGCCAAGAGCACTTTTACGCCGAGGATGCCGCAGAGCAGCAGCCAACAGCAGCCGAGCCACAATTGCTGCTGGACGATTTCACCTTGCCACCCATGCGTAAAAGTACGAGAGAGTATCGCCCCAACTTGAATGTCAACCGAAGCAGATCGCGCCGACCGAAACCCATGAGGCAACAGAACGTACCGAGGCGCTCGTGTGCCATTTGCAGAGAGCGAGAGGTCAATGTGCGCTTGTCAGCCGATGGATGTATTTGCGATAGATGCAATTCGACGATTCGTGCAACTTTTGAGAATTTCATGGATAGATCGCAGCGCTTTCAGTCGGGCCAACAGCACCAGGAGGAGGACAACCAAGGGGAGCAGCAGACACAGGCAGATGAAGCTCAGCGCCGGCAGTCGACTCAAAGTCAACCGGGAGAGCCAAAGCACCTAGATAAAGGACAGCAGGCAGGCAATGGCCAGCACAGAGCACGGCAGCCGATTATTCCGAAGGATGTGCCGCCCTTCAGCATTGTTGTGCTGCAGGATTGTGATAATAGCAATCAACTCATTGAGCAGCTGACAAGTGTTTTGTCTCAAATCCTGCCGCAGCAATTCAGAAATGCCAGCACCAACAACAACACTGCCAGTTGCTGCCAAAGTAACGGCACTAAGAGGAGCAACTACAGCAACTACTACAATGCGAGCAGCTACAGCAACAGGAACTTTGAGTACAACAACAACAGCAACAATGGATATGGAAATGATTGCTCGATTAATCGGTTGGTAAAGTTTAAGGAACCTTTGAACTACCACAGATATGCAGACTTAGTTTGGGGTAAAAGGAAGCAGAGGAATCTAGGGAAGGTAGAAAAGGAATCTTCGCCTAACTGTTATAGATGTAGATCCTGGATAGGAAAACGTTTAATTTACTATATGATAGTATTGATGAGTAGCAGCTAGCTAGCTTATATATCCAAAGTCCTTATAAGTACCCAATCTCAAATTCAAATGGTTTTTTAAATAGGATAAATCCTCGTATTAAGTCTATTAGGCTGTTAAAAAGAACTGTCCTGATATAAGATTATTTCAAATCCTTAGTCAGTATGTTTTCTCTAGGTATAATTCACAGTCTAGCTATCTAATGTAGACTTAACAACACCATAGCAGAGTAAAAACTCCTAAATGCTTACCAAATTGACACTTAACTATACTTTATTTCCATCTAGCCCCCTAAGTCCAACGAATACATGCACTTGTTGTCCATCGTCCTACTACATGAATGAACCAGCAGCTACTAGCAATGCGTGTAAGTAAAGCCCAAAATCGAATAATGAAATATTTCAATCAAATCTCTCCAATCTCTGGTACAGCGCCTTGGCAATATAGTTGTTTATGTGATAATGATGTGGCTGGATCACAGCAAAGCAGCAAAGCAATGGGCAGGAGCAACAAAGGCAATAACAAAAGAAAAACTAGTGCCAAAAACAATAATAGGAATAGGATGAGCAAAGCTAACGGCAACGACGATTGCGACTTTTTGGCATATGAGGACGATGATAGAAACGACTGTCGTGCCTGTGATTGTGATTCTTGTAAAAAGAGTCCCGAGAATGAGATGCTTCTCAAGCTCTTCGTACAGGTAATGGAGATGTTCATAAACTCGACCAAACATCGCGAGCAGCCCAGGAAAGACAACAAATCGAAGAAGGGCAAAGATGGAAACGCTAAAGATGGCTCGAAAAAAGGCAAGAAAGGCAAAGACAAATCGGAGGGTGATAAGGAAAAGCCGGGAAAAGATAAACAAGGCAAATCAAAAGGTAAACAAAACGCTAACGGCAATACTCAAATTAATAATTCAAATCGGATTCTGCCCGAATCGGATAAACAGCACGCTAGATGCAATTGTCCGCCGGAGTGCAAGGCCAAACAACAGCAGTCCGGCTGTGGCCGACCCGAGGCAGTTAAATTCAAGTGTGGCAAGTATCTGGATCGAGTGGATGCAGGTGATGCCACCAAATGTGGCAAGGCTGCCTTTACATCTGGCAACAGTGGCCAAGGGCAAACAGGCCTGCGGCCTGTGGCTCACTATCGACCCGGCGTTCTGCAGTATCCCATCGGCTATTTGCTCGCCAAGAATGGCGAGTGCGTACGCCGTAGTCTGGTCCGTACAGCGGCGGGTGCCACACTACATGAGCGGGTGTTCAGCGAAGTATTTACTTCATCCACGAATCCATATCGCAAAGACCATTCGAGGAATGCCGCTCGCTGTCGTTCCGCACAGTTTTCGCGTTGAGTACACAGATTACGCATTGTGTAGATCGTATATAGTATCTGATCCATCTATATGGGAGTCTCCTTCCATTTGGCATTATACCTATAGGGAACATATAATGCATAATTTGGCTCAGCTACGTTGTGGTTTATAGTTACAAAATTTCAAAAAAGGTAAACACAGATTCCGTACAGATCCGTATATGCTTCAGATCCATTATTCTATATATAATAAATTTGGTAGTACACAGAGGAAATTTTGGCTTTTTTTGACCACTCTTTTCTAAGCTCTACGATCTAGGGTCTACACTGAACGCTCTAGGCTATGTGCTCTACGCTCTATGATCTATGTAGACTCTATGATGATGATGACTCTATGATGATGACCTATGTATATGTTCTACGCTCTACACTCTACGCTCTAGAGTATCCGCTCTACACTCTAGGCTAGGTGCTCCACGCTCTAGGCTATACACTCTACGTTCTACGTTCTATTCTAGGCTATACGCTCTAGGCTATACGCTCTACGCTATAGGCTATACACTCTAAGCTCTAGGCCTTACGCTCTACGCTCTAGATTGTAGACTCTATGATCTAGGCTCAACACGCAAGACTATAGTTTCTAGGTTCTAGGCTCTACGGTCTAGCCTCTAGGTTCTACGCCCTTCAATTCCAATGCCCGCAGCAGTGGGAATTAGGAATCCCTGTCGAAGGCAGCAGGCTAAAGGATTTTGCATTTGCTGCTTCTGCTTCCGCTTCCGTTTCCGCTGGCCCAGATTAACTTTTTAGCGGCGCAAATCAAACGGCGCACAGCTACGAGACAAACAATTAACGCCACAGGCGTTTCCTCATACCCCAGCCAACCCGGGCGCAGAGTCACTAATCACCAACAATATTTGGTGTCGGACAATGGGTTCTTGGCTGGAACGAGTGTAGGCAGTGTATGGCAAGAGCTGTGCCATACCTGTAGCATATTTTGGGACGTGAGCGTACAATGGGCGCGTCGAGCTGTTTCCTGCGCTGCATTTCACACTGCCAGACGAGCATCTAATTGCCCACTGGCCACATGTCCTGCTGTGTGCGGACAACGGTAAACAGCCAGCCCAACAAGGGAAAATGTTAATTGCAGCTACCCAAACGCACTTTTCCACCAGTTGTAGCTGAGGCCAATGAGCAGGACATCCTTTTCCTTGTTTTTGTTGTTTGCCAACATTTGTTTTTACAGGCACGCATCGCTACCTCTCTTTCGCTCCAACTAAACACCCTCTCTTTCTACACACACACATGCATATATGTATTATTTTGTTTGTGTACAAAGTACGCGCCTTCACAGCATTTCCGCTCATCATTCGTAAAATTTTTGTCGGCCGCGCAAGCAACAGATGATGATGAACCCATCCCTTCTCTCCCTCTCCCTCTCCTCTACCATCGCCTGTGTTTCCTTTGCTTAAGCCCATGTGCTCCTGCTGCTGCTGCCGCTGCTTCTCCTGCTGTAAGTAATACAGGATGCATTTTGTGCAGGAAGTGCAATTGTTCAGTGTTTGCCTCAAATTTGAGCAAATGTTTGCGAAACGTGTTCGTGCGCGTACAGAATTGAATGTAAATCGATTTGCTGCCTTCGGAGAGAGGAATTACCCAAGACAAGCAGCTCAATTTTGTAGGGTAGACTGAAGTGCATAAGAAATTGTATATAAATAGCCATAAATATAGGAGGATTTGTCGCTTAGGGGCCCGAATTGCTATCTACTCAAGTAGGATTTCCTTTGGCATTTATTTAGCTTTTATTTAACACAAATATGGAATAGCAGAAAAAGTAGAAGCTTATTGAAATCCCTTTAACTATCCGCTGCATCAGATTACTTTTAAATCATTCATCATATTTCAATTCTAGGTCAGATAAGCAGCTTTACCCTATTCCAAAATTTTTTATGGAATTTCTAGCACCTTCTTCTGCGCTTAATCAACCAGCCTAATTTACAATTTATTCACAGTTGAAACTGCTAATATTATAATGTTTTGCAATCCCTTTACTTATCTGTCGCTCGCAAGCTTCCGCAAACTTCAGATCAGCTGAGCTTACTGATGCTATTTATATACGGTTCAACTTACATTGCGACAATTGTCAAACAATGGATCCTCAGTATTCTCTCTCTCTCCCTCTCCTTCTCTCCGTGTCTTTGTCGTTCTCTTGTTGACAGCAATTGGTGAGCTTTGCCTCAGTTACAGTTGTTGTTGTTGTTGTTGCTGCCGTCTGCCGTCTGCTGATTGTTCTTGGGCATGTTGCGGGTTTACTTGGGAAACAAACCATTTTACGTGACACATTTCCGAGTCGCTGTACACGTTGTAGTTGCCGTTAATCAGATTCACGGCGCATTTCTACACAAAAGTTCTTAAGGTTTTTATTTTTCTTTCATTCTTCTTACATTTTTTTGCTTCTCTCTTTATTTATTTTCATTGTTATCATTTGAAAATGCCTTAATCCGAATTTATGAAATGAAAGCGGAAGTCTGTGCGGCTTGTTTCCCATTCTTGTGCCCACGAGCATTTGATCTGGCTAGCTCTATCTCTTTCTCTTTTTACAAATCTACCTTGCTCTGTCCACCGAGGGGGGGTTTTCTCAACGTTTACGTTTTGTGTGTGTGGCATTTGAATGTCTCTCGGAATCTGTTGTATTTGCTTTTACGATCGCTTTTTATTCCCCCTCTTTATATATATATATATAGTATAAATATCTGTAACTTCTGGGCTTTAAGTTCTGTCTCGGCTCCACAAAAATTGGTGTTAATGATCGTTTTGCTTCTTCTTTGTTTTTTATGGCGGGGGCAGCTGCCAACACGAAATGACAAACGACTCCACGCCTATTTATGACGAGCCAACGAAATTACCGCAAGTCTGTCGAAACACTAGTAAAATTTTTAGGGAACTCCCCTCGGAACAACTAAATAGTTCCAGCTGAAAAGTTTATGGGATGACTGTTTATTGATTTATAGTTCGGGAAAGTGCCAATAAAATGGCAGTCCACGAGTCTGGCTAGGATTAGGCAAGGCGTGCCATATGGGATGTGCGGTGGTGTGTAGGCGGGTGGTTTATGTTTTCTCATCTCTTCTGCTGTTCCCCCTCAGCGCAGATCATAAAATTCACTTTTCTGTATATTTTGGTGCAGTTTTAATGTCCCAAACAGAGCCTGAACAGTTTTTAGCCATTAATCGTTTAGTCGAGGGTGGCTGCAGCGCTATATAACTGTATACATGGCTATATATAGCGGCACATTTGGTACTTGTGATAACATTTGATTAGCAGCGTCTGCTCTCGACATCCATGGGGTTTTCCCTAAAATGATTTTGGTCACTATATTTGGAACTTGATATATGAACGGCACACGCCCCTGAGTGCCTGACTGCCTGCCTTCCGCCCTTGTCGAGGGTACTGTCGCTGCCAGCTGTGAGATCTCAGATTGAGAAATGACTATTGGAAATTATCATCATTTTAGAGACTCTATTGTCTACCTATTGAAAGTACTTTATAAATGGCGTATTCCTATTATGCTCAAGTATTTGGGATAGGGCTCCACTGGATAACAATTCACAATTTTAATATATAGATATATAAATATATATATATAACTACATATTAACAGTTCTCAGTGGCTTAAAGGATATCCAATAGTCTATCAATCTTGCATAGCACTTCTTATTGCCTGTCAAGCGTTTACTTCCTTATGCTTTACGCATTTCTTTTAATTATGCGTGAGCACAAATACCTGTAATTGAAAATAAACAGGCTAAGCAAATAGGTAAGGAATCACAAATATAGAAAAACACACATATATATGTATATATGCATGTCTGTCTGTATACATTCGTCTCGTCTATATATGCGGAATATTAACGCACAAGCCATAGAAAGTCACGTACCAGCAAACATGTATTAGTCGCTGAGCCTAAGCAAACATCCTTTGTCTTTGTCTGTGGGCTTCCTGTCCGATGCTTATCATGTGTGTGAGCATTCCACAATGCATTGTGTGGGCCAAGGGAAAACGATGGAAAGATGTGGAAAAACAATGGCAAAATGCAATTGGAGGCAGTCACCGAATGAGGCAGCTGGACAGGATGCCTAGTAGGCTAGAGGCGGATTAACGGCAGCTAGCTAGTAGTTTTCCTTTTCTTTTTGGCAGGATGTGTGCAGCTCAGACCAAATCGGATCACAGCGAGTTGCTTCTACAAGTAGCGCTAAGCGTAGAGAACTAATCATGCATCAGCGTCTGGATCCAGAGATAGAGACAGAGAGAGAGAGAGTGAGAGAGAGACAAGAGGCGACGCCTGCTATCAATTAGGCAGCCAATTAAAGCACTTAATTTATTTGGTCTGCGATCGATGTGAGCGATAAACAAGCCATTAGATGCAGGCACAAGAGGACTCTACCTTAAACTCTCTCGCTCTTACTCATGGTGTTTATCTCAGCTGTCTGCTCGCTCAGCGAAAGGCGAGCAGGTATCAAAAGCAGGCGGCGACAGGACAAACCAAAGGCATAAAGAACCGCTTGAGATACGTTCGGCAATTAGAGGTCCTTCGTATAGATAGAGATGATATTAGCTATAGATACAGCTGCATTGAACATATAGATAGATAATTGTATTTACAGGTGCAGTTACATTGAGCACCTAGAGATACAGATACATCTAAAGTTACAGATACATAATATGACTCATACTGAAGTTCAGATACACTGAACGTACAGATACACAGATACACAGATATAGATACACAGATACAGATACAGATGCAGATACAGATACAGATACAGATACGCAGATACACAGATACACAGATACAGATACAGATGCAGATACAGATGCAGATACAGATACAGATACAGATACAGATACAGATACAGATACAGATACAGATACAGATACAGATACATAGATACAGATACATAGATACAGATACATAGATACAGATACATAGATACAGATACATAGATACAGATACATAGATACAGATACATAGATACAGATACATAGATACAGATACATAGCTACAGATACATAGATACATAGATACAGATACATAGATACAGATACATAGACACAGATACATAGATACAGATACATATTGCAGATATATAGATACAGATACATAGATACAGATACATAGATACAGATACATAGATACAGATACATAGATACAGATACATAGATACAGATACA